TATATATACAGTATGTGGAGGAAATAAGTATTTGACCCCCTGCTGATTTTGAATGTTTGCCCACTTATAAAGAAATGATCAGTCTAAAAATTAAATGGTAGGTGTACTGTAACACTGAGAGACAGAATAGCAACACGAAATTTAAAAGAAATGCATGTCTAACAAATTATGCACTGATTTGCATGTTCATGAGGGAAATAAGTATTTGTTCCCCTTCACAAAACATGATTTAGTACTTGGTGGCAAATCCCTTGTTGGCAATCACAGAGCTCAGACGTTTCCTGTAGTTGGCCACCAGGTTTGCACACATCTCAGGAGGGATTTTGGCCCACTCCTTTTGGCAGATCCTCTCCAAGTCATTAAGGTTTGGTGGCTGACGTTTGGCAACTCAAACCTTTAGCTCCATCCACAGCTTTTCATTTGGAAAAAGGTCTGGAGACTGGCTAGGCCACTCCAGGACCTTAATGTGCTTCTTCTTGAGCCACTCCTTTGTTGCCTTGGCCGTGTGTTTTAGGTCATTGTCATGCTGGAACACCCATCCACGACCCATTTTCAATGCCCTGGCTGAGGGAAGAAGGTTTTCACCCAAGATTTGATGGTATATTGCCCCATCCATCATCCCTTTGATGCCCTGCAGTTGTCCTTTCCCCTTAACAGAAAAACACCCCCGAAGCAGAATGTTTCCACCACCATGATTGACAGCTGGGATGGTGTTCTTGGGCTCATAGGCAGCATTCCTCTTCCTCCAAACACGACGAGTTGAGTTGATGCCAAAGAGCTTGATTTTGGACTCATGTGACCACAGCACTTTCAACCAGTCCTCCTCTGGATCATTCAGATGTTCAGTGGCAAACTTCAGACGGGCCTGGACATGTGCTTTCTTGAGCAGAGGGACCTTGCAGGCACTACAGGATTTCAATCCTTGTTGGCGTAGTGTGTTACCAATTGTTTTCTTGGTGACTGTGGTCCCAGCTGCTTGGAGATCATTGACAAGATCTTCACATGTAGTTCTGTAATGATGATTCCTCACTGTTCTCATGATCATCGACAGTCCACGAGGTGAGATCTTGCATGGTGCACAAGACCTAGGGAGACTAACAGTTGTGTTGTGATTCTTCCTTTTGCGAATTATTGTACCAACTGTTGTCACCTTCTCACCAAGCTGCTTGGAGATAGTTTGGTAGCCCAGTCCAGCCTTGTGTAGGTCTACAATCTTGTCCCTGACATCCTTGGACAGCTCTTTGATCTTTGCCATGGTGGAGAGTTTGGAATCTTAGTGTTTGATTGCTCCTGTGGATAGGTGTCTTTATACAGGTAACAAAATGAGATTAGCAGCACTCCCTTTAAGAGGTTGCTTCTAATCTCAGATTGTTACCTATATGAAAGATACCTTGTAGCCAGAAATCCTGCTGAATGATAGGGGATCAAATACTTATTTACCTCATGATCATGCAAATCAGTGCATAATTTGTTAGACATGCATTTTTTTTTGAATTTTTTTTGTTTCTATTCTGTTTCTCAGTGTTACAATAAACCTACCATTCGATTTTTAGACTGATCATTTCTTTGTGAGTGGGCAAACATTGAAAATCAGCAGGGGATCAAATACTTATTTCCTTCACTGTATGTATATATATATATATATATATATATATATATATATATATAATAAGCAGGGCTTAATCTGTAGAGCTAAATCTGTAATCAATAAAAATGAAAAAAAGGTAATCTTATTGTAGAAACAAGATTAGTAATGTTCAGAGAGGAGCTCAATGGCACCACATCCCAAATTTGAACAAAATAACAAGAAAAAGAAAAAAGGGGGGAGGGGAAACCTCCCGAAATTGAGGGGCGATAACGAGATTTTTAGAGTGTCATACAGTAATAGAGCAACAACAAAAGCTAAACTTTAGAATATTTATTAATTAATCAATTTAAAATATTGTATAAAAGAAATACACTTCAATATCCAAACATGATTGGTTGTACTCATTCAAAAAAGAGTGTTTTGGTGTAATATTTCTCAATATTCGCCTATTTCTAGCTTCTTCAGGAGATATTTATATAACACCTACAACAGATTCATATTAATTACTAAATATGCCAACAAGTTACATATACTGTATTCATATATCGAACATCAAAACAAGTTCAGATCTTTACAAACTATGCATAATATACATCATACATATATGCAAAACTACCAGTTTCAAAAGTTGATGGAGGGCCACTTACCAAACAATTCATACATATCTCATGAGTTGTGAACGATATACGAGATAATAATGGCTAAAGTGTCGTATAGATAGATTGGACATTCAATCCTCTGTATAGCCCAGACAAAATGATGCTTCTCATGGCTGCTGGAGGGACACACAAGCTGGATAGGGCAATGAAAATAAGAAAACTATAAACTTAAACTGCATACACTGAAAACTAACAAAATATCTGAAAACACAAGAAAAAAGACCAGTAGGAGAAAATATACTAAATAAATAAGCAGCATGAATAGTTGTTAACGTCATTTAGTTTAGATATATCTCTTCAAAGAAGCCAAGAAACATCCCAAGAAAGTCCCAAACTGGGTGCTAAAATATGAGTACAAAATAAAATAGTAAGTACTTATAATGCTGCAATTAACATGGTGAACATATAAAATGTTTAAACAAATAATAGTATCTGGTAATTAACTGTAAATTACGTGACCAATATTACAAAATTTTAGTACTCAAAATATAATCAAAGTGCTTCAGTGTCACATGTCCATAAAATACAGTACCTTGAAAAAGTATTCATACCCCTTGAAAGTTTCCACATTTTGTCATGTTACAACCAATAACAAATGTATTTTATTGGGATTTTATTTGATAGACCAACACAAAGTGGCACATAATTGTGAAGTGGAAGGAAAATGATAAATGGTTTTCACTATTTTGTATAAATAAATCTCTGAAAAGTGTGGCGTGCATTTGTATTCAGCCCCCTTTACTCTGATACCTCTAAGTAAAATCTAGTGGAGCCAATTGTCTTCAGAAGTCACCTAATTAGTAAATATAGTCCATCTGTGTGTAATTTAATCTCATTATGATTACAGCTGTTCTGTGAAGCCCTTAGAGGTTTGTTAGTGAACATTAGTGAACAAACAGCATCATGAAGACCAAGGAACACACCAGACAGGTCAGGGATAAAGTTGTGGAGACAATTAAAGCAGGGTTAGGTTATAAAAAATATCCCAAGCTGTGAACATCTCACGGAACACTGTTCAATCCATCATCCACAAATGGAAAGATTATGGCACAACTGCAAAGCTACTAAGACATGGCCGTCCACCTAAACTGACAGGCCGAGCAATGAGAGCATTAATCAGAGAAGCAGCCAAGAGGCCCATGGTAACTCTAGAGGAGCTGCAGAGATCCACAGCTCAGGTGGGAGAATCTGTCCACAGGACAACTATTAGTTGTGCACTCCACAAATTTGGCCTTATGAAAGAGTGGCAAGAAGAAAGCCATTGTTGAAAGAAAGCCATAAGAAGTCCCGTTTGCAGTTTGTGAGAAGCAATGTGGGGGACACAGCAAACATGTGGAAGAAGGTGCCCTGGTCAGATGAGACCAAACTGTAACTTTTTGGCCTAAAAGTAAAACACTATGTGTGGCAGAAAACTAACACTGCACTTTACGCTGAGCACACTGTCTCCACTGTGAACACATGTTGGTGGCAGCATCATGTTGTGGGGATTCTTTTCTTGAGCAGGGACAAGGAAGCTGGTCAGAGTTGATGGGAAGATGGATGGAGCCAAATACAGAGCAATCTTAGAAGAAAACCTGTTAGAGTCTGCAAAAGACTTGAGACTAAGACCGAGGTTCACCTTCCAGCAGGACAATGACCCTAAACATACAGCCAGAGCTACAATGGAATGGTTTAGATCAATGCATATTCATGTGCTAGAATGGCCCAGTCAAAGTCTAAATCCAATTGAGAATCTGTGGCAAGACTTGAAAATTGCTGTTGACAGACGCTCTCCATCCAATCTGACATAGAGCTTGAGTTATTTTGCAAAGAAGAATGGGCAAAAAACTTCACTCTTACGTTGGTATGACATACCACGTGGCCACACCATGGTGCTTTCGAAATTTAGGGTATCACTGTATTAGGTAATATGTGGTCAGACATCAAGAAAACTGGACAAATGCTTGTGACATTCATACAGCAAAAAGTTTAAATTTTTTAGCTGATGCCATATGCAGACAGAAATGTAAACATTAATGCCAAAACAAAAATAGTAATAAAAAAAAAATTTAAAATCAGCAGATAAATAATAACCAAGGGGAGAATAGAATGGAATTTCTTAGGGCTGATTAGGGCTAACTATTGTTTAACCACTTGCCTATCAGGCACTTATACCCCCTTATTTACCAGGCCAATTTTCAGCTTTCAGTGCTGCCGCACTTTGATTGACAATTGCGCGGTCATGCAACATTGTACCCATATGAAATTTTGATCATTTTTTTCTCACAAATAGAGCTTTCTTTTGGTGGTATTTAATTGCCACTGGGTGCTTTACTTTTTGCGCTATAAATAAAAAAAGTGCAAAAAATTTGAAAAAAAAAAAAGTTTCTTTGTTTCTTTTATAAAATTTTTCAAACAGGTATTTTTTTTCTCCTTCACTGATGTACGTTGATGAGTCAGCACTGATGGGCACTGATAGGCGGCACTGATGGGCACTGATAGGCAGCACTAAAGGGCACTGATAGGCAGTACTAATGAGGTGGCACGGATAGGCGGCACTGATAGACAGCACTAATGAGGTGTCACGGATAGGTGGCACTAATATGCAGCACTGATAGGCGGCACTGATAGGTGACACTGATTATGGGTACTGATAGACGGCACTGACTGGCATCACTGTTGGGCACTGACTGGCGGCACTGACGACTGGCACAACCCCTGGGCACTGACTGGTGGCACTGACTGGCAGCACTGCTGGGCTGCACTGGTGGGTGGCACTGGTGGGCAGCACTGGTGGGTGGGCACAGGTGGGTGGCACTGGTGGGCACAGGTGGGTGGCACTGCTGGGCACAGGTAGGTGGCACTTCTGGGCACAGGTAGGTGGCACTGCAGAGTGGCACAGGTGGGTGCACTGCTGGGCACGGGTGGGTGCACTGCTGGGCACGGGTGGGCAGAGCTAGTAGGCGCACTGCTGGGCACAGGTGGGCGGAACTTGCGGGTGGCACTGCTGGGCACCGATCATCAGGGCACTGATCATCAGTGCCCTGATGATCGGTGCCGATCCCCGCTCTGACAACTGCCGGTTCTCGGCAGTACTTTCCTCACGATCTGACAGCGTGAGGAAAGTGCAGCCGAGAACCGGCACTTGCATTTCCCTCTGATCAGCGTGTCATTGGACACCGCTGATCACGTGGTAAAAGGCCGCTGTGATTGGCCTTTTACCACATCACGTGATCAGCTGTGTCCGTAGGACACAGCGATCACGGAGATCGCCGGGTGCGCGCCCCCTGGGGCGCGCAGGAGAGCGCGTTCTGGGAGGACGTCATATGATGTCCACTCAGAACTGGCCGGCCGCAGTGCAGCCGTCATTCGGCTATCTGCGGTCGGCAGCTAGTTAATAAGGGGTTAAATAAGGATAAATGGATATACCATATATTGTATTTAAAAGCAAGTTTGTTTTTTAGGGCCCATTCACACTATGCTGCAGCCCAAAATGCTCTTATCCATACAGCAATGTTGGACTGTGGCAGCATGCATGTATTAAACGCATTTTATCGCATCACACAGCTCCCTTTTTGCCATGAGCAAAAAAACAAGTAACTGCACATATGCATATGAATATCAATGGTCATACCTAAACTTTTGTTAAATACTATCATCTACATGTTGGTGACCCAAGATTTGTTTTCTAGGCACAAAGGGGTCAATTTATTAAAACGGGCACTCAGAATCTGGTGCAGCTGTGCATGGTAGCCAATCAGCTTCTAGCTTGTTCAATTCAACTTTGACAATAAAACCTGGAAGCTGATTGGTCTCTATACAGAGTTGCACCTGATTTTGCACTCTCCAGTTTTAGTAATTAAACCCCAAAGTGCCATCAGCTGTAGCTCTATTCTAGCATCAAAATAATTTTTTGGTTGGCAGTCAAGTTAGGGGAGGAATAAGCACCAGATTATTATTACTGGATTTTCATGCCATGTGTCCCTCCCAGGGGTGGACTGACCATTTGGAAACTCGGGCACTGCCCGAGGGCTCGGGGTCAGTAGGGGGCCCCATGAGATGCCCCTGGTACCTTTATCATAGGCTTTTTTGAGTTTGGGCAAGGACACAGGGGCCCCATGATCCCCTATTGCCCGGGGGGCCCCATGAGTTGTCAGTCTGCCCCTGGTCCCTCCTAGGTATAAGGGTGAGTCTCATTTGGTTGTCAAGCAAGAGAAATACTGCACTGCTTATTGTTCTGTAGGCGTTCTAGACAGTATTGTACATCCTATGGAAAAAATATGAATATGCCAGTTTCGCATATTTGTCTCAAGGTAAAAACAAATCAGAGGGAAAGAATGGAAAATCTGCCACTTTACCTACAATTAGTGAAATATGCATGCGGATACAAAGAAAACCCACATAACCCTATATAATGTATTTGATTCTAGGTATTTCATAAAGAGCTGAAAAATTTATGGCACTGCAAAACAAAATAAAAATGACAGTATATTATTAGTCTAATTGTTTCCAAATGGCCCTGTGCACAAGCTGTTTAAACTAGAGGGTAAAACAATGAGTCATTTAATTTATCAGTGTTTGGATGCTAACAAAAGCATCCCACTAAAAGTAAGAACCAGTTCAGCAACATAAGGCTTGTTTAACAGTGAGTGTGGTTAAGCTGTGAATCTTAGGGTTTGCACCTCATCCCTTTAAAACTGAACACAGGTTCTGTGGCTGATTAAGGTGGTAAGTAAACTCACTCATCTGCATTAAATTAGCCTCAGAACCTGTGTAATTAATATGTGTTCGATTTTAAAGGGATAAGGTGGAAACCCTACATGAAATGCTTTATTGCATGATGTTGTAATGGCGATAACAATACTGTAGTTGAAAAAAGGACTGAATGATTGTCAGACATTATCCAATTACCATTATAAGACTAATTATACAATATATTGATCTGGAGGATTGATCAGACTACCCTTGAGGGATTAGGAAGTAACTTTTTCCTCTTATGTGGCAAAATTGGCAATGGTAAGAGTATTACCACTTTCACTGAGAAAAAAAATTCCCTTCTGGGTGATCTATGTACAATTCAGGGATTTTAACAAACTTTGTTGCAGGTTCCTGTCTTTTGCTATTCTGCACAAATAACTGTTTGTCTGTGTCCATGTGCAAAGTGAATGTGAATTGGGAGTGACTTTATAATTATTGATCAGCTGCTGCTGCCACTTGCAGGGTTCTAATGAGGAAAGTGACAAGGTCTGAATCCCTTTAGCCCTGGTTCACATATATACGTGCTGCGTTTTGCACGGGCACGAGAGCCCATTCATTCATTTGCCCTGTGACATGCAGAGAAGAAGTCCCTGTGTTTTCAGAACACAGCCCGCACAGGAACCTCGGTTCCCAGTGCGGTTGCATTTTCTAGTGCTGGCGGCATGCCATTAGAACTAATGGCACCCTCCTGCAGATCCGCATTCCTCTGTGTGAGTGGTGCGGCTGCACAGATTTTCGTGTGGATCCACAGCATCACCACCCGCACAGATGTGAACCTAGCCTTAAACTTGATTAACCCTTTGGGAGTATCTCACCAAAAATGGCATGTTTGTTGCAGAGGATGCTCAAAATCTGGCTTGTATCCTAGTGCAGACTTCTGGGAAAATCAGTAAGCCAATCACACAAGCAGAAAATTACATTTCTGGGGACATTCTGTACACCATCTGTGTACAGGTTGCCATATTGCAAAATTACAGTGCTGCAGATTAAAAAGGAAAGGTAATTTTTAATAATGTTATATTACAATATGGGTTGTGTTGCAATTGTATATGCAATATTTTTTTTTCACACAAAAGTGGAGTTATCTGTTAAACATGGGATTTTGTTTTGCCTTCTTCTGCACCAAAACTGTATTAAGTATGGGATAGTGAATGAGAAAGGCATCAATCTTTTTGAGTGAATTACAAAATTCCTATCTGAGATATTTGCTGCAGTTCCTAGCTTTACTATACAGTACTTGCAGGAAAAATACATTGTTATGAATTAAATAAGCCTTTCTAGGTAATCAGTGTATTGGGATGGTGGTCAGTAACTAAAATAAAGAGGAATAAAATTACAGCTTAATGTGTATTTGCAGTTTTGCAGTCAAATTTGAGAAAACCCCACTATAGGTTTATAAATAATCAGAAATCCTCCTGCGCTATAAATGGTGAAAGACCAACCTTAAGCTGCCAACACTCCCCTGCTGATACCTAGTACAGTGTAAACTCCATAAATAAATAGTGTGGCACTCAAAATAAATAAATAAATGAAGAGATAAATATGCAAATATAAATATGTGACAAAATAAATAAATGAATAAATAAACATGAAATATAAATAATGTGACCAATTCATATAGTGTAATCCATGAAATACTCCCAAAAACAATGACATAAAATGAATATCAATACATAATGAATAACTGTGTATCATATAGACCTCAAGTGACCACATATACAATTAATCTAGTGTCTAGGATAAATGATCAAAATCATGCTTATACATAAAAAATAATATATTTAGTGACCAAGTAATATTGCACCCTATACAAAGTGAAAAAAGTGCTAAAGTTCCAAAACAGGTGCAAAAAAACATTTGTTCAAACTTTTGGAAAACACAGTCCATCAGGTGATAGGTTTAACCATGCGATGTGTGGTGATAAAAAATTAGTGATTTGTGCCAAACTCCTCTCCCTAAAGGTGGCTAGATTGCCTCCTCACCTCCTCCTGGTGACCCCTAGGGGCCAGCAGGCTTGCAGGATCACCCTGGATCCCCTAATTCAAATAGGCCAGCAGCTTTCCTCCTTCATTAGATCCCTTTGTGAGACTCCTGTTTCTCTTACTCAGCCAAGATGTCTCTGAAGAACAATGGCTCACCAATCCAGTGAGCCAAGAAAGAGAATGCCCTCTAAGTGCAGTATTAATGACTCCTTTATTTAAAAGTATAGAGTAGCAACACTCACATTTCCTGGCAGTCCACCCTCCTCACCGATGTGTGGGTACACTGCATGTGAATGGGACTTCCTAGGTGCAGCAAGATGGCGTCGCACGCCGGAAGTGCGTCACCACGTACCGGAAACTGCGGACTCGCGAACCTACGTGTTACGTCACTGTCTACTCGTGACTTCCTCGGGGTACCCTCGGATAGCTGCTTTTGCATGTGATCAGTCTCAGTGTGTATTGTATACAGTAAAAAACCAGTTTGAGTTTAAAATAAAGAGTTCCATGTTCAGACAGACTGGTGTCATCTAGTCTTGTATGGTCGGACGTGGTACTAAAACCGGAGGAAACCCCAGATGGGTTGACGTTGGTTCGTAGTCCCAGTCCCCCACTGCCCATATCCACACAGTACCCCAAACACATTGTCCCAAACATAGAATTACTCACCCAGCCAACCTCTGCCTCTCTCGTATAACATACGAGAGACATACGAATATACGAACATCATGCTGTTGGGGATCTGGGCCGACTGCCCAGCATCCCTGGGGTATACCAGTGGAGACTGTAGTGGGAAATACATCTTTGGTTAGTTGAGGGCAGAGTGAAATCACATAGATGATCAACCTGATTTCTATTCTCAACTGCAAGGGGTAGTTGTCTTCAGTGGGGGGTGGGGCAGAGGTCATTGACTCTCTGTCCAGCTGCCAGCGCTTTGGCTGTATGGTTTTGAACATTCTGGAGCTCAGTCTGCTGCTGGGGAGAGCGGCCAATTGCCCCAGCTCCCTCATGCTGTGGAGACGCTGTAGTTGCTAGGCAGAGGCCAGTGGCAGTGGCACTCTGTCCTGTTGCCAGCACTTCTGCTGGGGACCCCACATCTTGCTCCGGCTAACCGTGGGGGAGAGAGGCCGGCTACCTCCACTCCCAGACTGTGGATCTGCTGCTGGGATGATATTCCTCTGTCACTGTCCCCCTGCTGCACAGATCCTGTCTTTGGAGGGAAAACAGTTTCCTCCACTCTGGCTGACTGTGGGGGAGGGAGGACAACAACCTCCTCTCCTTTTCTCCCCCTGGGCCTCTGAAACTACCGCAGGTGTGGGGCAGAGGTCCTGGACCCTCTGTCCGGGTTGTCAGTGCTTCAGCTGGAGATGTTTATTTTACCTTCATAGATGCTGTTGGCAGGAAATCCCATGTC